AAAACCCACTATCTTGGGGACTTTACAATTAAATAATCATTATTTTTAGTTAAAGATTTTGGAGATATTTACCTGTACCATGTGCTTTCATCACAATGGAGAAACATAAGCAGTCGGCTCCTTCCCAGCAGGTCTTTTCACATGGATTTTGCTTGAGTAGAAAGTGTGGCAGTAGAAAACTCAGTGTAAAATGCCTAGACCTGTAAGTACAAAAACAATATTCCCACTGAGTGAGGCAGTTTGCTGTGACCTTCATTCACATTAACTGGTCAGAGAAAAAAGAAACACATGTGCATAATCTCTCTCTCTCTCTCTCTCTCTCTCTCTCTCTCTCTCTCTCTCTCTCTCTCTCTCTCTCTCTCTCTCTCTCTCTCTCTCTCTCTCTCTCTCTCTCTCTCTCTCTCTCTCTCACACACACACACACACACACACACACCCACCCACCTCTCCAGGGATGACAGGCTTCCCATCCTATCTTTTGACCTTAGGGGCATCACCAACAAATTAAGCCTGTTCCTTTCCCTCCTTCCCTGCTTAATGATTCCCAAACTTCAGAGAAATAAAAAATAGTTATTCTCCAGAAAATTTCAGGAACATCACTGAATTTGATACTCTCTCTGATTCCTATTAATCCTTCGCACACATCACCCCCACTCCATCACACTATTATTGACCAAAAAGCAGAGTCATTGCTGCACCTGACGCTCAGCACTTTGGTCTCTAGGCCCCATTGCTGAGCCAACATTGTTCATGGAGTCCATGCTCATAATTCCAGATTCCAGTCCTGTACCATCTCCCCAAAACTGATCTTGCTACCAACAATCCTGTACTTATTATTACCAAAAAAAAGTTAAACATTAAATCAACATCATCGTATTTTCCCCAGAGTTTAATATGCCCCTAAGTCTTAGCATTGCTCTTTTGGGATGTGACTATCCTTTGATTTTAATTACCAAGTCATATTGAAATCAACATGTTTATATTACAATTAAGGGTAGATTTATAGTTATTTTAGTAAATTAAAAGTACCAACAAATCCCAAATCTGGGTGCCAACACACTAAGGAAAAAACTAAAATCCAAGTCCTGCCTAACTGGCTAAATTTTATTAGGAAGAAGGCAGTTAAAATCAAGAGCCATATGGAAATCCCTTATTTAAAATACATAAAGAGAGGAATTTCTATACATTGTATCTATGGTGTAAAAAAAATACTTGTTTACCTATTTACAAGTCTTCATACTACATATAGATCTTAGAATCACTAACACAAAATAGATATGAGCATATCAAAGTTATTAATGGGTCACATATTGATTTCCCTTTTGTATACCTGCATAAATGTAGGTATGTGTGTACACTGTTCTGATTATGCCTCTGTGCTTTTGCGCATGCCACACCCTTCGATTAGCATAGTTTTCCACTGAGCTCAGATTCTTACCCTAGCCCCCAGGCCCAGTGCAATCCAGCCTTCATGCTCTTTGCCAGCCTGCACTCCAGCTTTTCTATCTTACCTTTAAGCCTTTAAAAGCACCTTGTTCTCCTAGCCCTCACTGCTGAATAACCTAGTTCTCTTCCCGAATAACCCACCTTCTTCATCAAGTGACCTGGTATCATTTTCTCCTTCTGCTCTCAGCTCAGTCCTGTTCTCAGAGAGCCTTTCCCGACCTCCTTAGCCAGGTCACTACCTTCTCCATACTTTTATAGAACCATTTTCCTGTGTTATACTGGTCACTTTTGAGGTTTTACATTTTTAGATAGATTCATTGATTGATGCTTGTTTCCGCCACTAATTAGTAAACTCAACGAAGGCAGAACACGTGTGCTCTTGTCTACCCTTTTATCCTCAATATTCAACACAATGCTTGGCACATTATTGGCACTCAATAAAAATCTGCTGAGTGAATAAATGAGGGAGGGAGGGAAGAACAACGCTTATCATAATTAGTGTTTGTTGAATTAATCTGCTGATGGCTTTTCAACACAGAGGATAAGGTCTGCATTCCTTTGAACAGCATGCAAGGCTCCTGGACCTGACCCCATCCAGCTATGCAGCTCCTCCAGCTTCACTTGACCCTCAGCACCTTGGAATCCCTGTAGCTCCCTGGCCAACCTTGCCTGGCTCCCACTCATCTCCACACTCTGGTCTATTCTGTTCCCGCTGCACAGCACCTCTTCAAACCCAGACTCATTCTTCAAGTCTCAGTGAGGGCTGCTCTTCTGTGAAGACCTCTCAACTACTTTCTGGGAAGCTGAGGCCCTCTTTTCCCACTCTTCTACAACACTCTCTGCTAGAAAACCAATTATCATATTTTCCTGTACTTGTGTTTTAAGCAAATCCATCTCTCCCAATGCATCGCAAGTCCCTTAAAGCAGTGGTTCTCAACCTTCTGGCCCTTTAAATACAGTTCCTCATGTTGTGGTGACCCCCAACCATAAAATTATTTTCGTTGCTACTTCATAACTGTAATGTTGCTACTGTTATGAATTGTAATGTAAATATCTGATATGCAGGATGGTCTTAGGCGACCCCTGTGAAAGGGCCGTTCGACCGCCGAAGGAGTCGCAACCCACGGGTTGAGAACCGCTGCCTGAAAGGCAAAGGAGGGGTAGTGCCTCATTACACTATCCTCAGAGTTAGCACATCAGCCTTGAACATAAATAGTCAACAAATAAATATTTGTTGAATGAAAGTATACATTTCATATGTGCAAAGCTCCACAGTTGACTATTTAAATATTTTAATATATGTAGTATATTTATTATTAAATGGTACGAGGCATAACAGTTATAAATTAATCTGTAAAATGGGGATAACACCTATCTCACAGAGTAGTTGGGAAAATTAAATAATATACCAGTAAAATGTTTAGCACAGAGCCCAGCACACTAGAAGCACCTAGAAATAGTAACTGTATAACCATCATTGTCAATATTACTATTAGGACAACCATGTTGAATTTATAATTCACGCTTCAAATTTAACAGTTTTATTTTATAATGACTCTTCCTACTAGTAAAACATTAATTAGCATTAGCATCTCTGTAAAGCCGTAAAATGTCTGAAAAGGCACTCAGCAGACCAAGGATAAAGGTGAGTCTTACTCACTACAGTCTATAATAATAAAAGCGTAATATGCTAATTAGACCAGACGTCCTTCAGGATGTCCTTCTGGACTAAGCCGGGGCTGCAGCTGCCATGGCTGCAAGGGAGGGATCCAGGCAGCCGCCCGTGGCTGCGAAGGCCTACTCTTGCAAGAATTTCGTGCTTCGGGCCTCTAGTATATGTATAAAGGCACAAAGCATCAACACAGAAGATGTATTGCTGTTCAGAAATTATCTATAAAATCTAAATGACAGAAACACCAAATATTATCATTCAAATGCCATAAATATTTAGCTTAAAGAATTAGGAATGTTTATTGCAAATTATTTCTTTTGCTAATAAAACAAGATATACATATTCATTTCTATTAATTACTGGACAGAGTAATATAACTTCTATAAATAAATATTATGTTTTAGCCTAATTAATATGCCAGAAAGTGTATGAATTAAGAGCAAACACATTATCTATTAAGTGCTATGCTGACTTAGATTTGTTGAAATTTAATGTAACAGACTTATGCAAAGAGGGGAAAAGAGGCAAGGCAATTCTGCAACAATATTTTTTTTAAATAATGTCAGAATGAATTGTTTACAAATGCTACCAGTGCACAGTTGAGCAGAATGAACTGGTAGTAATTTATTCTACCAAGAAACTTATCAGTCGTATGATGCCCTTTTTTAATATACTGGCCAAATTTAAATAATGACTACAAAAGTATTTCATATACTGTGTGCTACTGAAATATAAGGTACTATCATTACTGCATTTGAGATTTCTATTAATAATTCATCTTTACCTCTCTGATAAGTGATAAAACCCAAAGCAAGTCAGATTTCTAATTGGAGCTTAACCATTTTCTGAGAAGTATTAGAGCTACAGAAGGAAAATATTACAAAAATGCCAAGTTCTTAACTTCTAATTGTTTTACCACTAGAATGTTACACTACTTTTAAACTGAATTACAATTCTATTGATTGGCCACACACATTGACCAGTTTATTGCAAATATACTGTTCTCTACAATGTAATTAAGATGCAAAGGTAGAACAAATTTAGCCCAAAAAGTCCTAATTTATTTAGATAATTTTGGTCTGAATTTACTATTAATCTCATCATATGCTTGTAGGAAAAAAAATCTGGTGAACCCTTAAGAATATAAGGCAAAATTCCTCTTTATTTGTGCTGATTCCTATATCTGAAATTCTTCCTTTAAGATTCAGCTCAAATGCTCAGATGTCATTTCCTCTGTGATACGCTCCCACATACACTGTCTTTGTCCTGCTGTGCAATGATCTGTTTCCCTCTCTAGACTCTGTATCACCTTAAAATATCTGTATCTTTAGAAGGTAGTGTACAACATGATGACTATACTATAGTAAACACTGCTCTCTGGTATATATGGAAGTTGCTAAAAGTGTAAATTCTATGAGCTCTCATTACAAGAAAAAAAATGTCTCTATTTTTTATTTTTTGCATCTCCATGAGATGATGGATGTTAACTAAACTTACTATGGTAATCATTTCATGACATATGTAAGTCAAATCATTATACTGTATACCCTAAACTTACACAGTGCTGTATGACACTTATATCTCAATAAAACTGGAAAAAAAATTAAATCCAAAAATATATATTTGTATTATGCAAAATTTGAAACATACAAAAGAATGCATACAACATATATAATATATAAGATATTTGAAGCATAACAATAAAATGAACACCACACTTATTTAATGGAAATCGAGACCAAGCTTCTGCCTCCACAACACCAGCACGTCACGAATCATTCTATTCAGCTGCTTAATCATTCTATTCAGCTGATGAGTCCCAGAAGAGGTGCGCCCGCCTCCCCAGTACTGGCCAGCACTTCAGTGATGAATCTCTGTGGCAGAGAACCTCAGCACTCAGAGAAACACACACCAGCGCCAGACAGCGTTTTCCACTTTTATTGTCATTCTTATTCCCACATGGACCACTTTCTCACGTATCCGCTTTTCATTTTTCAAAACCAAACCTATGAGCCTGTGACAACTTGCCTGGCTGAGTAACATATTACATCATCATCCACATGCCAAATCCTACCTCACTCG